ATACATGCATATATAAATATTTTTAAATGAACACTGGGTTTTTTCAGGTAACAGATAGTGTGCACAAATTCTGAACTCAAGTATATTCACAAAATATACACAACTGGAACAAACCTAAGAGTTTTTGACACTTTCCTAATATAGTGACAGAGCAGAATCCATATTCCTTGGTTGTCGTCTTTCTCTATATTGCATGCAATAAGTGCATCTCTGGGTGGTTTATTTAACCTTGTGTTTTTCACTCCTGTTTCAGTTGACTAGTTCTCTAGGCAGCAGCAGTAACCAGTCTTGCTCACTTTACCAAAATCAATATGTCAACTGGTGGTTCCCAGATGTGGTGGACTACAATTCCTCAACCAGCAAAGCTAATTGGTTGTGCTGGCTGAGAATGAAGGAGGGAGTAATAGTCTCAACACAACTGGAGGACCAGGTGTACATCTGGTGTAAGCCAGCTGCAAGGTCAGCTTTCATCTTGCAGTCATGCAGATGCAAGGCAGTGAAAACCCAGTTATAATGTTTCCTGTATTCTTTTAGAGCCTTCATATTCAAGTCTTGATAGATCATGAAAGCACTACCTGAAGGACAGATCTTAACATTGTCCTTGGCAAAATGTAATAGCATCTCTATCACACAGAATAGTTCTATGAGCTGTAACTCAAATGAAGCAAGACCCCAGTATCTACTGCCATTTAAACAGTAGTAGTTGAGCCACCACTTTTCATTAAAATGTTCTTACGCCTGCAGAAAGATGTTGCTCAACCAGCGAAATACGATTGAAGATAATAGAGTTATTTTACGTAGCATATTATTCCCAGCCATTGTCAGAATAATGTTTCTATTGCTGTTCCAACTCCTATGCCAGACCATGTAACTCATCTTTTCCTGTTGGCTCTGTACTATATATAAGCATATTGTGCAACTATGTAGTTACATTCAAAAACTGGATTTCCATTTCCACTCCAAAACTAACAATATTATACTGCCTTCATACAATTCAAAGGTGTGACCAATTCTGGTCACTGCATCTAAACAAAGATCTTATGGAGTAGGAAAAAGTACAGAAAAAGCCAATTAAAATGGTCTTGAGCACTCTCCAATAAGAAGAAATTACATCTGGGATTGTTTAGATTAAAATAAAGGCAAATGAGGAGAGGCATATATAGGTGTACCATACACATTATGTATGGTATAAAGTAGATAGGGAAACATTTTTCTTTCTCTCTTATAATACTAGACCCAGGGTAATCCCATTGAGTTGGCAGATCAAGGACCATTAAACTATGGAATTCATTGCCATGAGATGTAGTGATAACCAGCCATTTGGATGGCTTTAAAAGTGGACTGGGAAAATTTAAGGAGAATAAAGCTATCCATGGCTACTAGTCTTGCTGACTATATGCTTCCTCCAACATCAGAGGTGGTATGCTTATGTGCACCAGGTACTGAGGAACATGAGCAAAAGGATGCTATTGCCGTCATGTCTTGCTTGTGGGTGGCCACTGTGTAAATGGAATTCTGGACTAGCTAGACTTTGACCAGATAGTGCACAGCTTGGATCTTAAATCCTTAGATCTATGGCTACAATAAGAACCATATTCATCGTTCACAGAGCAAGAAGAGTGGGAGTAACCCATGTTGGACAAACCACCAAACCTGAACTCCTGAACTCCTGTTCCCTCTGGAGAACCAACAGTGAAGTTGCAAGGGTGGTGGAGGTTTCTAGTGGGGCATAAGGCCTTCCTTCTACTCAAGGAAGTACGTATAGTAAAGATATGTCATTGGGCCTCAGAGCAATATGGATGGAGAAACCAGCTTCCTGCTTAGTTCCATCTTACTGGTTTGGGGCAACTGATGAATAAGAGCAATTTAAGATGGGCTTAGCTCTCACTCAGAAATCAGTTGTACTCAAGTTAAGTTAAAAATTTCAAGTCTTGTAAAAATAAGAAGACCAATTTGGAGGGTAGGGGCTCTTTCATGCATTATTAAAATAGTCAAGAGCCTGCTATCTTATAAGGATGGTTTAACTTAGATTCCTGCACTGAGATGGGGATTGGACCTGATGATCCTCTGGCCCATTCCAACTCAACTATTCTATGATTCTATATACTTTGGGGTACAATCTTATGCCCTTCCAGCATTGCCCACAGCAGGGAAAGGATAGATCACAACCCAGCTCCAAAACTGGAAATGATTCCCAAGGCCAGAGCTGGGACTCTGCCTTCAGGGGGTCTTCCCTTCACCCTCATGTTCTTTATACATCATCTGAGAATGGAGGACCATTTTGGAAATGATGGGTGAGGTACAGTGAGGCATGGTCATCCTCCAGAAATACCAGCAGTATCTCAGTATCTCTCCTTTTCACAGGGAAATGGAAGATATTTGGATGACCAAAATCAGCCATCTAAATGTTTTGGAACTCCTTCCTGCCTTTCTTTGCATGTTCAGGGGGTTCCTGTCAGCCACAATGGATGGCATTATCCATATGTTTAAATCTACATTTATGATGGCAGCATTATCTGTCTGAAATGCCTTTCAGTGTATATTTGTTACCTTCCTCCCACTTTCTATTTTATGTTCTGTCAACAAAACACTCTGTGTAGCCTAAAAGCTTAAGGCAACATAATTTTTCAATAAAATACATCCACTTCACCAGTCTTCCCACACAGACGATGACAATAAGTTAAAGGATACCAAAACTAAGGACTCTTTGTTATGTAATTTTAATTATAATAAATAAATAAAAATAGATACACAAGCTGTGTATCTTTATATAAATGAATTGTCAAGGTTGAGGGAGATTTTGCGTTCATCCAACACAAAGAAATTACTATTACATCCTATTTGTACCTGCTTACCCTGAAGTTTAAAAAGGGATATTTTTTCCCAGCTAAATGGGCAAGTATGTTAGAAAAGGCATTTTCCCTTTAAAGCAGCCATTCCTTGAGCTCATCTACAGGCACACACATTCCTGCAAGATATGCAATTCTTTATGGCTTTTCTCTTGCTGTCATGTCAGAAACCTTTATAAATGTGAACCGAGATGCCACTGTTTCCTGCTCAAAGCAAGGCTGTTTGTAACAACTGTCTCAAGAGTTCTCACCAGCTTAATGAGCTGGTAGTTGCTTGTTCTGGAAAGGCAGGCAATCATATGTGTCTTTATCTGTTCATTAATCTTAGCCATTCTCAAGCTGCTCTTCTCTGGCAATTCTTTACCTTTATGCCGCATCATCTCTCCCTCAAATGCCACTGCCTTGTGATAAATAAAAGCAGAAAGTTGCAAGGCTTCTGCAACATTATTAAAGGTAATAGTGAATCCAAACTGTTGGCAATGGATCCTGAGAGGAGATTTCCTCATAATCACAGGCTTTGTCTTTGCCCAGGGTAATTTTTAGAAAATAATGCCTTCAGAAACCTGGTGTATCTCAATTTGGCTATTTGTCAGTAAGAGCTTACTCCAGCAAAACAAATGGCACACTAAGTTAAACACAGCTTTCAAGTTAGGCTCTCTTTGGTGTATTGAATAGATGCCATGCCAAACTGAAGGTTCGGCTTCAGAATCCTTGAAGAAATCAATTTTGCAGAGAAATTGTTAATATGAAGCAGTCAGACAGCAAAGAAGAGGTTAACCCCAGAATATGCGGCTTGAAAACCCAAATTCTAACCTATCCATTTACCCACACTTTTTTGTGTGAATGTATAACTCCTGTTATGTACTGGAGCTCATGAAGTGTGTGTTAAAATTTGTTTGGTGGTAATGCAAGCTCTAAGAGCTGGGACTGTAGCAAACTCAAGCACAAGCCCATAGGCCAAATCCAGCCCGGCTGGGATTGTAATCCAGCCCTCTGATTCTGGCAAATTCCCAGGTTTTGTCCACCCACCTCCCTCAATTTTAAAAGACTGAAATGCCTCTCTTAAAACCTAGTTATTGGCAGTACCAGTATTTGGCCCATTCTTTTTGCCTCTGGTCTGCCCATCACTGCAATATACCCCTGAGAACTTCTCCAGAACTGAATTTGGACCTTGGGATAAAAGGTTTCTCCCCCTGCAACAGGCAAATACACCCCCTTGCTAAAACAGGAAGTGCCAGTGGGAGTGCAGTTTTGCACGTATCATGCATACAGAGTTTAACAAACTCTCCCCCCACCCCCAAAAAAGAGCAAGGGTTCTCTTCAGAAGGATGCTGAAATCAAGCTGCATGTCCCTGTCTACTCTAGAGGTAGTTCCTTATTAATGTGATCCTTATGAAGGATTCTCATTTTCATCATTCATCTGCTTTCATTGTATAAAAAGTACTTTTTACCCAAAGTGTGATACATAAATCCCAATTCCTTGGGAATCATTACATCCAAATGTCCATATCCAGGTATGCAGCAGTCATTTGCTGAAGAGCCTTGTTATCACCAGTAGATGAGCAAGCAGATCTTGCAAATCAGAAGGCAAAGTGTTATTTTCCTTTCATGTTCTTTCTGGTGAGATAGCTGAGTTTTCTGGATTCATTAGCAAGACCACTGTCCCCACTCCTCCCAAAAAAGGTGAATCTTGCTCACCTCTTTCCCAGTTCCTGTAGATCCAGCCATAGTCGGCTCTTGATTTAAGACTAATGCTATGATACCAAGTAAGCTTAGTCGCTGTCTAGAGTGATTTATAAATATTGGGCAGTATCTAGAATTGTCACTCAGCTTCCATCAATTCCCCTGCAGTTGAGAAAGCACCTTTTGTGCAATAGGGTCCTTGTAATTCCAAAAGCAACCCTGAAAATGACTGAAAACACCTCTTTCCAAAGCAGTCCTGATCATTGGAGATTCCTTCTGACATTTCAGAAACATTATGGTAAGGAGTGTTTGTAATTCTTTGGAAGGCTTCAGGCCTTCCCATTAAATTAGTGAAAGGATCTGCAAGACAGATACTGCTCTGTTGTCAAACTAAATAATGAATACTGTCTTGCCTTTATTCCATGTGCAGAGCAAGTTTAATACTTTTTTATTGAGCAGTCTTAAAATATAACAAAAAAGTAATGCCATTATTACATTAATTCTAAAAGGTAATGCATGTGTAGGTGATCGTCTTTCCCAGGTATTTGTTTGGTCCCAGTGATTACAGTGCATAGTTATGGCTTCCAAAACTGGCAACAAATGATACTGTTGTCTCAATTAGGAGGGTAAACAGATTGTCCCATTTTTAAAAATAAAAAAGGCTCCTACAATGTAACATTTCACAGTTGTGCATGTTTATTCATCCAAGCAAGTACAAAATAATGCTGAGACATCTGCTGAGAGACACTGGTACCTAACGTTTTGGCTGTTTCCCCACATATTTGTGCTTTCAGTAAAAATAAAAATAAAAATAAAAATAAATGAGGAAAGGTTACTATCAGTTAGATGCATTGAAAATTCCTTTCCCCTTCTTGGTAACATTTGTCTCTACATATGCCTTCTATAAAACACAATGTTCTGAGGTAAGATAGACATTTAAAAAGGGATAGATTAAAATGTTATTCTTCTGTCTTGGGGCCAGTCCACACAATTTAACAGGTCAATGCCATTCTAATGTGGTGAAGGGAAAAAAATACTAGTGAACTCAGCACACCTTGCTGACACTGGGCCATGCTATTCTTCCTCTACAAAGGGGAGGGGTTGTGTAGAGTGGGTGTCAGTGTGATCAAGGGGTAGAAATTGTCAGCTTGTTAAGCTGGTTAGGAGCCAGACCTCAATGTGTTCAATATTCTTTTCAAATGAACATTACACACAAGACCTTTGTCAGTTTATGCATTTGCCAGTTTCACTTCCAAAATTCCAAGTTAACTGCAAAGGTAGTGAAGACAGAATTCCAAACTTGTCTCTTTTTATAATATCACCAAATTGCCAAATATCATTATCAGTCATAAACATTCACAGCACTCACTCCAAGTGAGGTAAAGCTTCCCACGTAAAATGTCCAGTTTTCACTGTCTGAATTGGTCTGCATTGTGTCCTCAATTTTTTAGTGCAAGCCTATACACATCTACGTCACAAGTAAGTGCCAGTGAATTCACTGGGGCTCACTCTCAGGTGAGTAGATATAGGATTTCAGCATGTGGAATGTTTTAATGATGAGTCAAGTCTTTCAACTGAATGCATAGTAGCTCACATTTTAAAAAGCAACAACTCAACAAAACCCCAGTCAATTGGTCCTTTGATAGATCTGAGTAACATTATGGACAAAATGCTCAAATGAGTTCCAGGCTTTCAAACTGTTACATGTGGATCAATGCTGGGGTTTGTGTGTGTGCCCAGTGGAATGAATGGGTACATGCAACAATGCCAGCTCCTCATAACCTTTTCCACCATCAGATCTGTACAGAAAATGAATTATGTGCATGCAAAAGAACACACCTAACTGTAGTGTTAATACTGTTGCTTTTGTTTGGAAATGGGAAAAAAAAACCCTTCTACAGTATGGATGTTACCCAACTGCCCTTGTGCTAGTGGGAATGCCCATTAGTTAGTGTAACAGGAAAGCAGTGCTTCAGAACGCACCTGGAGACAAACCCTAGCTTGACCGAATTTCTGGACGTTGTGCTAGTAAACATTAACTCTAATGCAACATGATTGGTGTTGGCAGATTGCCAGGACTGGATACTCCCCCTTATTTTGCAAGTAAATATGAAGGAGCCAGAATACTCCTAATTCAGCTGAGCTAATATATAAAAAAGATATGACAACTAATATTGGAATAGATAAAAAATGACTGCCTGATTGCAAAGGCAATCTTTTCCTTTCTTGCTTGCTTTCATTCTTTTTTGCTTCCTTCCTTCCTTTTTAAAACCCAACAACCACCATGTATTTTCTACATTGATACTGCAGGCAGCAGCAATGGTATAATTAAAACAGAATATCAACTTTATATTAATGAAGCAATGCACTAATTAAAATCAACATCAACTGAACTTTCTATTTACACTCTTTCAGATAGCCCAAGAGGCAAGGAACTTTGCTTCAGAGGCATATGTGAATGCTTGAGCTTCTGTCATCCAGGTGCCATTTCTGACAGAACACATGTGCCTTGAACAGTTGGCAATAAATGAAAAAGATGATTGCTGATACACACACATACAAAAGAGCCAGGATGGCGCTGAAAATAAACTCGCACTAAAAAATAAAATAAAATGGAAAGCTCTTTCTGAACAGATAGGTTTGCTGTGATTTTCTGCTGTATAGATGTGCTGAAATTACAAATTATTAAAGCATGTTTATTTATTTGGGGATCCTTTCTTCTCACAACAAAGAGGCCTTGATTCAAAGATTTTGATCAAAGTTGATTCCAAACAGTCTTGAATAAGTTGAATGTTGCCATATTTTACTCAAACATCCATTGGAAGACAGCAAAGCAGGCATTTGTGGTTGATGGAACTTGCTCTTATTCTTTTGGTGCACAAACGAGAAGAACCCATTCTGTTTTCATTAGCTCCAATCTTCAAAGAATTGGATTAAACCTCTCTTTTCTGGTTCTGGCTTCTGTCATTGACTGCTGTACCCAAGCATAGTTTAATATGCTATTTCAAGATAAATCCAAACATATCACTTATAGACTGACATCAAAACTTTTCTGGTTTTTGATTTTAATTTTCCTCCCATTAAATTCCCAGTTTTCTCACTTTCCTAATGGAAACCTGCTTAACACAGGACAGCCTTTGCAAATTGAGAAAAATGCTGCATAAATAATGCCTACTTACTTGATATCTCCTGTTGTTGAAGTATTATGAACTTAAGCTGCAATCCTAAACACACCTACATGGGATTAAGTACCACCAAACTAAATAAGCTTTACATTTGAACAGACATGCAAAGGATTGTTCTATTAGTGTCCCACTGCTAATCAGCATTCTGTGGGCTCCTTTGAACTACAGGTCTTGGCACAGGCTTGGTATTCATGTTTTCTCAATTCATATCAGCAAGTTCATTTCAGTCCAATGTAAACATGCTAAAATCTCATCAATTTCAATAGACATTTCTTCTCCATTGAAATTGGTAGGAACCAAGTGTAATTTTGCAACATTGCATCTAGGGTGCAACGGGATTTGGTGGGGATGGGACTGTGCAGTCAGTTCCCAACTCATCAGCTTGTATTCCCGTTTCACCTTACATAGCTGTCCATGGTCTAGAGTTCTTGCTTTAACAAATATGGGGCATCTTCCAGCCACAGAGAAGTACTTTTAAACTTGTCTTAATGTGAGAAGTGAGCACATGCTTCAATCTTTCCCACTGTAATCAAAGTAACTTAAAAGTGAAGCATGCTCATAGGGGTAGGACATATCATAGGATTTAATTGTGTTCTATTATGTTTGCGTTTTGTGTGTATTATTTTTGGAATTTCTATTTGTTGCCATCCTTTGAAAACAGCAAATTATTCTAGTTCAGAAACAACTCCAAGGAAATCAAAGTCTTTCCACCATCACTGTAATGCTAATAAATGCAGGAAATTGTCTTCTGGAATAAAATATTTTCATCTTGAGCAACAAACTTTAAAAAAGTTCAACATCAGCCAATAAACGACAGTTTGAATAGCAGAAGCAGCTCATTAAAATCTGTAAGGTTGGCTGGGATAATCTCATGAGTATTATTAGTTTTGGAACTGCAGGAGCTGGTTCAAGTTATATTCACTTCCCTGAAGAGATACTTTGTTCGTGATCTGAGTGGTCAAGGTAATGCTTTTCTAGAAGAAAACTTGAAAAAGACATTTGCTAGTTTTCATCTTGCTCCAGATCAAGGTCAACTTCTTCGGAGAATTTCAGATAAAAGAAAGCATAAGATGCCAAGAGAAATACAAATATAGCTGCAAGGACAAGGCTGACTTCCTGTAGCAATGACAGATTTTAAAAAAGTTAGCTGTATAAACATTTCAGGTGAATAAAGAACAAATGGCATTTCATGAATCTATATTTACTAAATCAACACTGGATCATATAATTTTCTCAGCACAGTTTGATTATTATCCTCATGCAAATACCCTTAAACCTGGATTTCCCATGATAATGGTCCCAATCTAGAAATTCTGGGAACAGACCTAATAGAGTTTAAAGTTAACACTGGTTCAGACACTGAAGGTTCTGAGGGTTTTATTTATATACTACTTGAGGAATCTTAACTTTCTTTTTGGAAAAAAAGTAATGGGTGAACTAGTCAACCATGGTTGTGGTGAAATAGTTAACCTTAAGAACATAAGCATGTAAGAAGAGTCCTGCTGGATTGGACCAGAGGCCTGTGCAGTCTGACGTCCAGCTTTTCACAATGGCCACCCAAATGTGTCCGGCGTGCCCACAAAGGCCAATGGCCAGATGACATTTCATGCTAGTGTTTCCCAAGAAGTGGTATCCATTGCATCTGGCTCCAATTTGCAGATTTGTCTGGTTACGGGAGGGGACAGAGGAGCTTGTGGACCTGGTGGATCCATGGCCTCTCTCCTGCCAGCCCATTTCCCTGACCCCAGCACACCCATTTTCTCCACACTTTCTGCAGGGGTCAGGAGGGTCAGGTTGAGTGGATGGGAAAATGCTTCAAGTCAGATATCCACCTCTGATGTTGCAGCACTTTCTATGGCAGGACTGCAGAGACATTTCACCACAAGTGCTAAATTTTATGTTGAAGAACTTCTCGGGGCCACAGTCTAGCAGTGCATGCAGCTTGTGGGGGCAAAGGAAAAGGACCAAGAATCCCCCTGCCCACCCACAAAAAAGAAAATAAAAACAGCATATTTTAGCTCAAGGCTTTTCTTGTCAAAACTAGACCTTGGGAGTGATATTCAACCTTGTCAACTGAGAGTAAATGCATAAAAGCCAGAACCCACCTAATGATCTATACTTGGGAACCCTGAAGGGGCAAATTCGGCCACTGTTCCTGAGGTTCTACACCTGTGGAAGTTGTTAATTTCTGTTAAACAGACAAAGAATTGCACCCTTATTGATTTTCAAAAGGGTGTATGAATTCCCTTTGCACAAGCAGTTGTGCATGTACATATGCTAGAGAAAATGGAAAACTGTATTATTCCAAGACCTTGAAAGAGTTAAATTTCCTCTGTCAACTCCATATTAAAAAAAAAAAAAAATCAGCTCCCTGATCTGGCAAGCTCCCTTGGAACACACTTCATTTGCATTTACATGAATTCTTTTTATATTTTATCAGTATTTTAGATCCATAATTCAGTATATGCCACCTCATACATTTGTCAAATATTATAGCTTCTCTTGGGCTATGATTTCTCTGTGGGTTATCGTTTTGCAGGTAGCCCCAGTGTCCTTTTCCTCTCAAATAATCTGACTCATAATAGCCTTTAAAAGAAAACAACTATTCAAATTATGGATACTTTTTTACTAGGAATCTCATCTTGTAGAAAGGAACTTTATGAAGGCTATTTTAAGCTTTAGTGTCTTCCTCTGGTTTTGTCTAATGGGATTGAAAATGAAAGTTGCGTCAAATTTGTTACATTAAAGTTGCAAGGGATGCAGCCGTAAGTCTTATGGGTATGAAAAGGCAATAGCAGAATGTTTATTTCTGATTGTTTATCTTGAATCTTTGCTTCCAGGCCCATCTTAAGAGGAAAAAGTACACAAGCAATATACAACTGCAGTGACTTCCTCTTCCTTGGATACTAAAGTGTCCATTCCATTGTCCTTCATTCCTTACAATTTTATCTTTACATAATTGTTTACTATTCTAAGCACACTACAGAACTGGGCTTCCTGCTAAAGGACTCTGCTATTGTGTATTTATATGGGAATTTTCCAATTAGGAAAGTCCTGGGAAATTTCCAATTAGGAATTTTCCAATTAGGAAAGCTTTCCACACTGAGCACTTTTAAAACTTTCTACATTCCCCATTCCCTTATCATGTGCGTCTTGGAGGTCCTGTCGAGTTTGGGCAGGTTTGTACACCTTGAGAAGTGACAATTTCCTGCACAGGATAGTCTGTCATTCCCTCCAGACCCTGTTGTTGTATTTCAGCATGGTATGTTTGTAGGTATTTTAGAAACCACAATAAGGAACAACAGTCTCTTCCATGGTTTTCTGGCTTCACCATGGTTTCTCTGGTCGTCCAAAGCATCATGGTTTTCAATGTCCTAATAGGCAAAGTGTCTCCAGGGAACAGCAGCAGCTACTCCAGCCACTTTCAGGTGCAGTGGCTAATGGGATATGTGCCCACAGTGAGAGGACTGAGTGAGGAGAGTAGAAACCACACTAGCATAGAAACCACTTGATCATCCATGAGGTAAATGTTTTAATAAATAAAAAAATAAATCCAAGCAAAAAAAAAACCTCCTGCATCATGTAAACAATGCAGGGTAGCTTGTTATGCAAACCTACCTTTTGCTCTCTGTACCCATATCTGCAGCACAATAGCTGCAAGGGAACTGTTTACCCAACAAATGTTTGGAGGACTGAGAGCTTATATGTTGGCTTCTTTTGACAATTGCAGATGATTTTCAGTGGGTCTTCCTCCTCACAAGTAGGCCCTCAGTAGGCACCCTAATGAGCATCAGTGTTTTAAAGATCACAGGAATCTCAGGTAAGCCCATGTCTACTACAGGAAAGGGTTCTGCTGGGGGGATTAGACTTCACCACCAGTGAAGAGGTCTTCTTTGGGTTTGGGTTGACCTGGAACCTGACACTTTTTGAATGAGTTTGTCTTGAAAGACTGGGAAAACTCTGAAAGAATTGATAGCATCAGTCATAGGTTCAGATGCTAACAAAAGAACTTAACTTCAGTGGCTTTTTCAATGGGAAAACTATCAATGCATGAAAATCTTTTAATATATATAGAAAAGTGCATAAATCCTTCAGTTGAGAACAATCATCCTTCTTCACAACACAAAGTCAAAATCATTGAATATTTATGGCCCACAAGTTACTATGTTGACATTATCAACACAGATAAAATCACTCATTGGGGAAATTAACCAAGTATTAAATGGCAATGACTAAATGAAACTTTGTTACTTTCAACCCAGCATAAAAATGACAGGCAATCAAAATATGGCAGGCTAGACTAATTAGCATGCCAGTTATGAAATCACAAGTACCATACTGGGGTTGGTTTAGAAAAGTTTAGTACCCCTTTTGAGGGTGGAGGCAGGGGGGTTCTACATGAACTTTGTAAACTTTCTGCAAACTACATCCCTGGTGGCAATTCACAACTATTTCTCTGCATAAGTAATAAAGTAATAAGTGGAGAATGCTTAAAGATGGTTTATATCTGTGTTTCTGAAAAAAACTATGGTGTTTCAATGTCCTTCTAAGCCAGTTGTGGGCAAATTTGTGAGGTCCAAGGGCCATTTTTACACAACCTAACCCCCTCTTCCACCCATAGCACCAACAAACAGACAGACAGTTAAACTATGGCCTCTGGAGCAGCTACAGAGCACCAAGAGGGTCAAAATTAGCTTGCTTTCAAAAAGGACATCAAACACTTCAAAAATGGCTGCTCCAAGTGCCAGCTTTTGTTTTTGTTGCTGTTGCTGCTGTTGTTTTACAGTTTTAGGGAGCAGTACGGGCTACAGGTTGTCCATCCATTTTCTAAGCTCAATGGATATTCTTTGCTCCAGCATGTAGCAATGTCAGTGCTGTGATCTTACATATTCTAGCTCACTTCTTCACCTACCCAGCTCCACCTACTGCTGCCTTGAATGGCATGGATTTAAATTATAGATAATACTTCAGTGTGGAAAGGAAAATGCATTCAAATAGTGTATAGAGTGCCATGTGTTGCTTACCATAGACCATGCCAATATTTTACTACATGCACACTTGCTGGGAATGGATCCAAAGCACCTAAATTTGCATGCTGATCACAGGAGTTCCAAATCTGGCCTATGGACTTGAGGTCCAATATGCATACCTTAGACCAAGGAAAATGACTCTGAAGTAAGAGTCATGAAGAAGAACTCCATTTCTAAAAGGTGTTATTACTCCTAATCATTTGCATATCACCTTTAATATGTAAAGTCTCAGAAATATTAATATTGCCTCATCACCACATTTTAATGTTATTTGTCATTTACGGTCCTACAACTGAAGCCAACAGAACGTTTCCCTTTCCGTTTGGCTCTGCTTGCAGTTCCTAGAGTTAGCTTTCAAGCCCAGCATGGTGAGGCTGCTGGCCCTGACACCACTTAAATTGAGTGGGAGAGAATTTTCACTCCAGCTTATAATATCTCGCCTATTTTGTCTCCTGCTGAAGCTAGGTCCAAGTCTGCCATGCAGTGAACTGGAACACACAGCTCCTGACAGAAAAGGTAACATGTAATCAGGAAAGGGAGGGGGAAATGGTGCGGCTCAATATGTTAATAATCCGCCTTTTAAACAAACACCCAAAAAGACAGTCTACTTTTTCTCATTAAAGCCTGACACAAAGCACTACTGAGGAGATTATGTTGTGAAAACAGACCGCATTGCATGGCAATGCTTGATCGAGATCAGCTATCAGGGAGCGAAAAGAAACCACTGTTTCGTGATTATAATAGCAAATTCTGGAAGACAACCAAATGCATCATCTGGCAGCTCAACAGCTGTTGCAGCATGGTAGTAATACCTTGCCATTTGCTGTAAGCTATCACTTGGGTGGGAGGGGGGAATTGATTTCTCATCTGCCAGAAACAAGAAAATGTTCTCTTTGAACATTACTGAAATTCCTTTCAATAGAAACAGCTCATTTTTTTAACCTTTCCCCCCTCCGATCTGCATCTTTTTCTCAGCATGGGTTGCTAAGCTGATTTTATGTTGATTTATTTTGAACCAAAAATAAATTGAGAGGAAAATATCGGAAGCAACTTAAACAAACTACATATGTTCAGCCTAACTCTACAACAGGGTCATGAGATTGTGTGTCTGTGCTGGGCAGAGGGCTTCAGTACACTGTATATGCCCTTCATGTTATTATTTATCGTTTGTACTTGTTAAGTCATAATTACACCTTCTTTACTCTTTAAATAGAAGAAGTTTCAAAATAATTCAAAGTCCACCAGCCTCCTCGCTGGGCCAGTGATAGAGAAGGCAATAATTTTTCATACTAGAGACAAAAACTGTAGCTTGGGTTAATGTTACATATATAAACACATACCAACACTTAGTATTTATATCTATACAAACAAACAAAAAGTCACCACCACACTCAACACAGCCACTGATGATGCATAAAACCCAGCAAAGCTGTAATGCTATATACCCTTGCTTGGGAGTCAGTCCTATTGAAAGTCAGTGGAGCTGACATCTGAATGGAGTTGTGCTGTAAAGCATTTCTCCCATGCCTCGAGATGGCAGTTGTTCTAAAGGGGGCCAGGACCACAGACCAGTGGTAGAGCACCTGGTCCCAGGTTCAATCCCCACCCTCTCCAGTTAGACCTGGAAAATTCCTGTCTGAAACAGCACAGAGCTGCTGCCAGCTAGAGTTGACAGTACTGATGAATCAAGAGTTTCACTCAGGACACGGCAGCTTCCTATGTTCCTAAAAAGTGGTTTATGGCACCCAGGAGCTCACAGGCAGCATTAAAACAAGCACATTTATCAACCTAAAGTACTTGGCCACCCACTTCTATACCTGTTAATTCACAAATAAATTTCACCAGGTTCAATCGGACTGACTCCCAAGCAAAGATGCAAGGCACTGCAGCCTCTCAATTTCAGACCATCTAGTTTGGCTGTGGGTGAAAGAAAAAGAAATCCATCATAAATATTTTAGATCCCAGCATTCCATTTAGGGTTTCAAAGTGTCATAAACAATATCTCTCAGTGATCAACATTCACACAGAACTTCTTTAGGGAAAAGAAGCTCAGTATCTATAGGATGTTGGTTATGCTATCAGCTGGTATACCTTTATGCCTGGTGCGGTTTTCTTGGCCTCTGCTTTTAATCTTGTTGCTTTTAACATTGGCTTGGTTTTCTTGTAATCTTGTTTTCCTATGGAAGGAGGTGGGGGAAACAGTTACTGAAAACACTCCATGGTAAATGAAGAACAATTATTTTAATGTATACAGCATATTCAAATTTTCCCTGACAAAGCACAAAAATGCAACTGCAGACTTTAATGGCCAGAAAGAGCAAGTGTGAACATTAGAGCTGGTTGCAAAGTGAGAAATTTTGTTTGCTCTAATGGGGAATACATGACAGTATAATTTGAGCAATTTATTATTTGTGCTTGGGATGGTCATATTATTTACAAGTGGATACTTGGAAAGATTGCTGCTAAAGCACAGTATGCAGTCATGCCAAACTGAGCACAAGCCCCATCCCCCAAGTAAATAGAAAATCCTGTAATGAAAAAGTTATAGATACTGGGAAGACATAGATATACATATTTACATGAATGGGTGCTTAATTGGCAATAAGATAAAAACTCTTTTTTGGAGACAGTTCTTGTGGGTTTGTTGTCATTCTGCTTGTATATCATCAGATTATTAACCTTGGACCCAAATGCAAGTCTAGAAAAATAAAAAGGACTTCCTGCCTAGTAATAACAGGTTTTGACCATGCTGGAATTGTTTTAGCAGGATCTGTTTTCATGCCTCATGTCACAAGAATGCATTATTGTGGCAAGTCTGCCTTTTTTTTAGTATTAAATTAGCTGAAAGCTACACTTTATCACCTTGCTGTCTGTAAGGTTGTGATCGTAAGCAAATGTATTTGGGGATAGTGCCATGCCAAGTCTTCATGAGTCAGTTGGGGCCAAAGACACCAAGAAAGCTTTATGGACAAGTGGGGACCAGCATTCAGATCTCCCAAATATGTACCCCAAAAATACACACTAAGCACTACATCAAACTGCCCCCCTTTTTAAATTTCAAACCTGCAGTTTTGGATAAGGGGCAGGAGGGACATAGGATCCCATTAGAAAGCCCGATTTCTATACTTTCACTCTTCTTTTTCCTGCCTCTTCACAGCAACTCTCTTTCCGGTGCAGTAATCTGCATGTCCCCTCAAAAGTCTCCCTGATTTTGATTTGGCTTCTGCTTCAGTGAGCATTCACAAAATTCCAGCTTATTCTGTTCCTGCTTCATTTTAAAAATGAAAGGACTTTTTCACTTTGTGGTGCTACAAGCTCTACTCTGGTACATGATGACATCTCTGAGGGAAAAGGAAGTCCCCTTTGCCCTCATTCTGAGAGAGAATGAAAAGGAGGAATGGATCCCCATCACCAAGTAACTGGCCTTACAAGGCTTCCTGACCTATGTGGAAGTTTCAGTGCCTTCCAGCTAGGCATGGCAACCCTTTCATGGAAATCCAACTCCAAGGCTGGGACTGTACAACATAGCAATCCACCAGGCCTTACTAATCACAATGGGTTGCAGTGTAGTATGACCCACAATGGGTTTGTCAAGGTGGAAGTTTGGGTTACAAGCCACCCTGATGATAAGCCATGGCTTGACACATTAAGCGTCGCCATGTCATCCAACCCTGGATGACACAACTTATCATGGTCACCTGCTGTCAAGTCACTTGTGAAGAATGGTGAAAACAAAAAGGGGGGGGGTCATAAGTGCTAGCCCCACCAATGAATTGTCCAAGTGGCACCTATGGGAAGCTAGCAGGTGTTTTTATCACCTTTCCATAACCCCTTTAACTTGAGAGTTTTTTTAAAAAGCAGCTGCTAATCCAGCTGTAAAGCCATCCCCAGCTTCCATGATCCCCTCCCCAAGCAGCCATGAGTTGACCCTTGCAGGTGCTACCCTTGCTTGCCCCTCATTTTTTAAACTCTCAACACCTTTTTTGTAAGTATATACAGAATTATCTATTTTTAAAATTACTGCCATCTAGATTACTGCCAACTGCAAATGACCAGACATACACGGGATCTGCAATGGGAAACATGAGTTGGATAATGGGTTGGGGGGTGCCTGCTGGCCAAATCCAGCAGGTACCCACTCTGCCCATAGTGCACAATCGCTCCACTCACTGCTGAATCATTCGACAGCTGTCACACTTGATCTGTCAAGTGTTTCAAAAGCCCAGAGAGACTGTTGTTTGTGGAAGGAAGATCTCAAATCCCACAAGGACACTGAGGTGTTTCTCTCTCCCATGGTTCTCCTAGATTTGCAAATGTTCCCAACTCAGCAACATACAAAAGTAACGGGCATTTCCAGGTAACTGGGTAATTGTTTCCACCACAACCAGGGAATACTTTGCTATTTTTATATGTTCCCAAGATGATAGCACCTTAGGAACAGTTGCAATATGAAGGGGAACTTTGAGAGACATGAGCATCCCCCATCAAAAAACTTCAGCAAGTTTCTGCTGAGAGGGAATGTTCCAGGGTCTCCTCAGTTTTTTTTATCCCCTTATCTGCAATGTGTTTAGAGGGGGTACAAAGCTCCCCCCCCACAAAAGCAGGGACATAGATTGCTACAATGTCTCCTGCAGCATCTTACAAGACTTCTTTCCCTAAAAAAATCCCTAGTAAATATATTGAGGGGGGTGCTATGAATTGGGAACACAACAGATGGGGAGTAGAAGTTTATCCATTCATTCCTGCCTCACCACCACCTCTGATGCTCCCTATGCAGCAGTTAGCAATGGGAAAAAAGCTCCCAACAGCACCAGTGGCAGCCTTTTTCCTGTTGATAATTACAGCACAGAGAAGGCCCACTTTGTCAGGATTATGGCTGGGAAAGAAGGATTAAAACTTCCCTCCACACTGCATTCCAAATTGAAAACAGACCATACCCATATGGTTACCATTAAATAATAAAAACAAACAACAACAACAACAAAACTCTTGCAATGTGGCAGGCGACACAGTTCACATCACGTCTAGTTAGGCCCTAAGGCTATGCCTCCTCTGGATTTAAAGAAGATTGAAATCATGTGGCATGTTAACCCGTGTTCTGCTGTATTTCGAATCTGTATGAATCTTCAGGACATTTTTCTCTGTATCATTTGCAGAATTGAAATTCCAGGGATCAGAGCAAAATGGGAAAGAAGTTCCTGCTTTGCCCCCCTACCCCCCATGGAGGGGAAATTGTGCCTTCCAGCTACAGAACTGGTCTACAGTTCCCTCTTTGTCAGGGTATTGCGGGGGCAGGGATACCACCCACAACATACTTCCTGATCTGATCCAGTTTTGTGTCTACTACTATTGGTGTTCCAGCACTGCAGAGGTAAAAGTTTCCAAGGTTTCCACAGGGGCTGTGAGGAAGCAACTGAAATCCAAGCTCCTCAAAGCAAGCCTCTTTCTCCATCCTTGAAAGCGGGGACATGATCTATCCTGTGACTTCCAGGACACCCTCGCAGGGACTATACACTTATAGCAGAGTGCATTGTTAAATCTGTTCTTTCCCAAGGATATGTCCAAAGACAGCCACAGTGGAACAAGGCAGGCAGAGCTTCCATGGGTTGCTTGGTACCAATCATTACGACATGAGCATGTGCTATGTGATAGGAAAGGAACTGTCAGAATTTCCATTATGAATTGACTGAGTTTATAAGCTCATAAGAATTCATGCCAGCGTGAAACTTGGCTTAAAAATGTTATCTCAACTTGTAACACTTTTAGAGCCAATTTGAACTAAAGACACACAGCTGCTAAAAATGTGTACTTCGGGTCAAACTCTAGACATGATTCACTTGGGGTTCTGAACACAGATTCCCAAAGCCTTTCAAAAGAAGACAAACGAAAAGTGCTCATTTCAGTTCAAGATACAAGAAAGGCTGAAATACTCTTTCATATCTATGCTAAGAACAAAAGATTGGGTGCAAGGTATAATTTACAGCAGAAAGACCTGCCATTTCCAAAGATGAACAAGAATAAAACAGCTCTAGAAAAGTGTGGAGAATTAGATAGATATCCGATTTGCTCAGTATTTCTTCTGAACAACTTTGAGTGCAACCTTGCTGTAGATGAGAAGGGCAGAACCTCAGGTCCAGGGCCATGCCATCTTTTCTGCCTTGTTAATGGCATTCTGAAACTAATATATGTTGATATTTGGGGCAACTTTTGCCCTCTGCTCTTGCCTTTGATCCCACCCACCATGACAGAAGCTCTTGGGGTTGCATTTCAATTGTGAGTATGGCAATTTATCCCAATTCCATTGGGAAAAGGGGTAGAGTAAAAAGAGAAGAGCTCAAAATGCCATAAAGCTAAGCATTAGGACAGGCATTTCTACCTTTTAGAATAGGAAGGGTGTAGTCTACACAAAAACTGTGAAAGCCATTAAATACGGGAAAGGGTATGTGGCCAGGGAAAAGGGCTTGGTTTCAGGAAAACCCCAAAGGGCCTGCGACCCCTGCAAGTGCCAAATTTGGCTCCTGGACCTCTGGTAATGCAACCTTGCCTTATGAAACCCTGAGCCAATTATCTTCTTTCCCCACATAGGATCAACATACAAAACCAGGTTTCCTCATTGAAGCGAGGATGTGGAACAGAATAATCACATGCCAGCACATTTTCTGAGTCACACTAACTCCACAAAACACAGAAATGTTACTGCGGTCGAAATTGGGTCAGGGCATAGCATGGGGCACGATGCAAATTCTGTGGCCTGGGTATACATCAGAGTACATTGCAGGCAGATGTAATCCTGGATTTCCATCAGCACTGTTATGCCCTAAAAAGCCTCTCTCCAATCATCTCTCATTCCAGAGAAGACCCATGAACAGACAGGAGTGTACCTGAGTATCACTTTTAGGATTTTTGCTGATTTAAATTCCATGCTCTCTATTCCTGTTTTCCTAAATTTGACCTTGGCACAAGTTAACATTGACAGTATTTGCAGTCTGAAATTAAAGTCGATATTAACAACTGAAACTACCTTTATTGCAAACAATCTATTTTAATAATGACTCTACAGCTGGTAACTCTCCAAAACAAAGCATCTGTGATTAATTTACCGCTCTCCTTGCTAAATAGTGGAGCCAGAAGAGAAAGTACATACCAGAGAATACAAGTCTGAATCAACTGTGTGTAA